GGAAAAGAGAGAATCTCTTTTTTCTTTTGTTGAAAGCATAATTGGTGCACACTTTATTGTGGTGTATATATGTAACTTTCAACTTCAAATGTCAGCATATCAAATATCTATGGAAATCTATCTGAAACTTGTGAAAGGATAAATACATCTAGCATTTCAGTTGGCAAAAAATGTGTGAACTTTGGCATTTTCTCACGACTAACTAAATGGTTTATAGACTGCTTGTCTGCTAATTTCTTGTCAGGTCTAATCCATCACAAATATTGGGATATTTGGGTCTAAAAGGTTTATGCTGCTCTGTCCTTGTGGCTAGCAGGGGAGATGGAGATCTCAGAGAGAGAATGTGGAGGTGAATGAGTGAGAAAATGTTACCATAAGATGGAGGGATGATTATTGGAAGTTAATCATTTGCAGGTGCATTCCTGCTTTTAGGTACCTCCATTCTAACTACCTATCTGATTGGATACGCAATATATCTGCATGCAAATTGCTTTAGGGGTGTCTAGTATCTGAGGCTCATGATTTTTTTTTCTAAAATATTGTGACTGATGTGTGTGTTGGCTGTGGGATCTTGGACGCGGATCCAGCTATTGACCCCCCACCCCCTCTCTCACTCTCACCTGATTGATTTTAAGCTACTCACAAAATTCCATAAATCGTGACTTATATGAAAGCCATCCCATGCTATTATATGATACTTTTAAATTGAAGTACTAATTTTTTGTGTTGCTTTTTTTCCTTGACGGATGGATGGAGACTATTGGATGCTATTAAATTGGTCATTGAATTCAAGGAAACCGTGCTGAAACTTGATGTTTATTGTTATCTTATATTGGTTGACTGCCTTGGTTAAAGAGTGAAGGATGGCTCAATTTCTAAACTGGATGCTGAGAGCATGCACAATATTGAAAAGTGTCAGACAGATTTGTTAAGTGATGGTGTTCTTTTATTGAACTGGGCAATACAAGAGGGCATAAACGAAGTTCTAGGACTTCTGACATTGTCATTTACGTAAACCAAATATTGATTTTTGACTTCTGACATCGTTTAGACATGCAAGATAATATAGCACAAGTAAACTTTGACATATCCTTTACCTAAACCAAATATTGCAATTTCTGCATGTATGTTCAGTTGATAAGGAAATGTATAGAATTAGTGCTTTGCTAACTCCACCTAAACTGTCCACAAATTTGCATTTGCATCGCTATCGATTCTTCATAATTGAATTGGGAAGCCGAAAATTGCTACACTGATTTTTTGGAGCCTCTCTGAGCTTCTTTTCCTTCTCATGCACAATTATGAATGTATCTATTGTATTTGAGCAAACTACCATTGCTGAACTCCTTTAGGTCCAAAGCTGCAGTTTGCCGCACCATTTCAACGTTTGCAAACTCATAGGCATATAAACTAATTCAGTAATTGTTCCAGTGTCTTCACTTTCTAGATTTTCATGTAGCATAACTTAGGACCTAAATAAATTACTCATTCATAGGAGTACATAATTGTTGTCCTGCTGCAACGCACGGGCACTCAACTAGTGTATATATATATATATATATATATATATATATATATGAAAATTATTTTCTACTTCCATGGAGTAGTTACTTCCATGTGTATATTTCTAAATTTAGGGCGTATATGGCCCGACGAAGTGTATGTAGATGGAGTATATCATCATACTAGACCATCTAGGGCACTATGTATGACAAGTATGTATGTATACTTAGAGTATATGGTTATACTTATTTTATATGCTACTGTCATAGTATTATATAATATATTAAAAAATATGTGCTCTTTTGAATTTTTTTCACATAGTAAAGATCTGGAGTATCTTAATATTAGTATGTCAACATACTCAAACTGATAAATGAATATGCACACATACGCAACGTGATTTATTGATTATGGGAGTAACTACTCCAGGGAGTATATATATATATATATATATATATATATATATATATATATATATATATATATATATATATATATATATATATATATATATATATATATATATATATATATATATATATATATATATATATATATATATATATATATATAATGCTTTTAGATTTCTCAGCATGAATCTCACGTCCACTACTTTAATTTGGATAATTCTCAAGACGTGGCAAATTGACATATGTGGATCCGTCCATATCACTAGGGTAGTAGTACCAGGATATAAAGGCAGACTATGGTGCCACGACGAGTGGAGACCCTGTATTCTATGTGTTGCGAAGAAATCATTTACGTAAAATAGTAAACGTATTGGACGTAATTGGTTGGCTGGAGATCACGATAGGATGCAAGATTGAGTTGTTTGGTTGCTTAGCTAAGCCTAGCTTGATTCGTGCAAAACGGCTCTATGCAGGGGCGGAGCCAACAAGTTTATTTCTTTGAATGTTAGGGGGACCAACAATGTTAAATTTTCAAAATTTATTTGAATTTTAGAAAAATTAGTGGAAAATTCACATTCATAGGGGGTCTCCACCCCTGGCTCTATGGCATGGCTGCAGAGAAATGAAATTGGATCCTATTTTCTGGCGAGCCTGGTTCGCGAGGTGCATGTTGAGCGCTCGACGTTCTCCTGGCGTGTGCACGAGATGAGCTTGAGCGTGTGACCAATCACTTTCTGTGCTCAGAGAGGATGGATGGAAACGTAAGCCAAACAAATTGATCCTACATGCAAAGACCTTGACCTGCGGGAACCTGGCTCCTAGATGCCAGCCTCGGTACGCAGACAAGAGAAACCAAGCACGCCCATACATCTTTTGTTTTCAAATTCCAGTATTTATTTTAGTCTTCTGCTATGTTAAAATTATTAAACTTGATTAAGTTCAGAGTTAAGTGCACTAACATCATCTAAATCACCAAATTACTTTCATTAAAATCTCCACATAGAGCTCGTTTATATTTTAAGATGTTGGTGTGTATTTTTCTATAAATTTTATCAAAGTAAAAGAATTTTTCTTAGAACAAAAAATCAAGTGAGCTATAATTTGAAGCTGAGGGAGTATTATTTTATTTGGCACTCCGTAGAAATTTGGTTGGTTCTATTTGCCACCTTCCATTCTTCACACTAACATGCCTCATAAGTCATACCCAACTAATGTCCCAAATTGATCGAAAAAAAGTAATGTCCCAAATTCAACGCCATACATATATCATGATCGCTATATACATACCACACATGGCTAAAATATCTTGCTTATTTAAGCACGCATAGACCACCGAGATAACACTTAAACCATGTGACCTCGAGAGTAAATACAAAGCTTATAACAAACAACAACAACAAATGTCTACAACCTAAACCATTCTTTTCTAACATCTATAGCATTAAATAGAGTTGAGGGGTGACATTTCTATTACTCAACTATTATTCGTTTAGTGATTAACTTTTGTTGCAAGTGAATAGAGTTGGCACTAACTATCAAAAATAAAGGGCATAATCTCACATAGTTAACAATAGAGCGTCACGACAAGTGAGGTGTATGTGCGTCACAAACACCAATAGTATGTGTTTTATAGCCCATGCAACATGCTGGTCTTTCCGTCTAAAAAAAACATGCTGGTCTTCCATGACTTGAAGCGACAAAAATCCAACCAAGATGTTTCGCTTCACAAGCCACCACAAAACCCCTGATGGCATGCTTTACGTTGGATTGATTTGTCGCACCTTATGTCCATTCCATGTCTCACCAGCCAGGTATAAAATTTGGCAAAGTAAAAGAAATTTTCTTAGGACAAAAAGTAAAGTGAGCTATAATTTGAGACTAAGGAGATATTATTCATTTGGCAATTTGTAGACATTTGATTAGTGCTAGTTGCCACTTCCACTCTTCAATGATCACTATATGCCACACGTGGCAAAAACATGTCGCTTATTTAAGCACGCGTATACCACCAAGATGACACTTAAACCATGTGACCTCGAGAGTAAATACAAAGCTTCCAACAAAAAAAAGTGTACAACCTAAACCGTTCCTTCCTAACAGTGGCGAAGCTAGAGAAATTAGAGGGTGTTGCACGTGCCTTGTGGGTGCATGGAGTTGTGCTATTGGGGTGCATATATAGTGAAAATCTAAGAAAAATCATTGTTTTCACAAAATTTGGGGGTTGCATTGAAACCCCCTAATGTCTACCTAGATTCGCCCCTACTTCCTAACATCTATAGCATTAATAGACTTGAGTGGTCAAATATTTCTATTCTTCAACTATCATTCGTTTAATGATTAACTTTGTTGTAAGTGAATAAAGTTGGCACTAGATATTCAAAGGAAAGGACGTAACTCCACATATGTTAACAATAGATCGTCACCACAAGTGCGGTGTATGTGCGTCGCAAACACCAAGAGTGTGTGTTTTCTAGCTCACGCAACTGGTTGTATCTTCCATGACTTGAAGCGACAAAAATCCAACAGAGATGTTTCGCTTTACAAGCCATCACAAACCCCCTTAATCTGTGCTCTGCATTGGATTGATGTACCGAATATTATGCCCATTAATTATATGTCTCATATGTAATGCTGTCAAATGCAGTATAGTAGAAACAACCTTCGAAACCAGACAAAAAAACGCTTATACATATTATAAAAAAAACCCTACACCACTTACTACCTATTATTACCTCCGGGGAATTATTATGTATGCCAATTACTAAAAGGAAATTAACAAAGATGCAAAACCTAGGTCCAACGATCCAACGGCTGAGATCCAAATCAAAACCAAACAGGACCCCGAGTGGGGTGGGGGCAGCGCATCCCTGTCTCTGTGTCTTCCCTTCTATAAAGTGAGAGAAACGCAGAGAAAAGCGTATGCGACAGAGGAAATCCATGTGCCCGGCTCGGCTCTGCCACGCCCAGCAGCCCCACGCACGCGCGCTCCCCGCCAAGATTTGCCACCAATAACCCCCGTCCTCCTCCGCGAGCTCCGGCTTCCCCCGCGCGAACGCCGGGCGCAGCGCGCATTCCCCCAACCACTGCATGGGAGCCGCGACTGCCCCGACGAAGCGGAGCCGCGGCCCCAGCAAGAGGCAGGAGGCCATGATGGCGCGCGCGGGCTCGGAGGCGCGGCGGCGGCCGCGGCTGGTCGGGTACGAGGAGCTGCCGGAGTACCTCAAGGACAACGAGTACATCCGCGGGCACTACCGCGCCGAGTGGCCCATCCGCGACGCGCTCCTCAGCGCCTTCGCCTGGCACAACGAGACCCTCAACGTGTGGACGTGCGTGCCCCTTCCCCTTCCCGTCTCCCCCGATCGATTCGACTCCAAGCGTCCGACCCTCTTCCTTCCTTCCCCTGCCTATCCGTCTGAAATCTCTGAATGGTGGCTGATTCGTTACTTCTCGTTTTTCTGTCTTTGTCCCCGCAGGCATCTCGGAGGGTTCCTGTTTTTCCTGGCGCTCGCGGTCGCCGGAGGATGGACGGAGGCCGCCGACGAGGCGGCACCGGGGATCATGAGGTACATGCACATGCATCGACATGCCGTTCGTTTCTGCAGTTCCTAAATAAACTTCCCCCGCTCCGTTCCTGCGTGATTACCGGGCGCTAGCAGAGAACCTTGAAAGGGTCTATCGTGTGAGGAATTTGCTGTGGCGCTCCCTTGCTTTTCTTGTATTTGCAATCACTGAACCTTGCACAAAAGGCCTTCGCTCTCGACAAATTTGTTCACACATACTAGCTGGCAAGTGACGTTGTGGATGCATTTTGTGGCGTCACTAGAGCTATAACGGCGAGCGCATACAAACATATTATGTGCATAGGTGCAACATTAGTTGTTACCATATAATATGTTTTTTTTATGTTTCAACATATGACGTGAAATAGTTTTTTTTTCCTTTGCGAGCCAAATATTCGTTAAAAATTAATGTAGTTCATATGCTTAACCCTTGAAATATTGTATCTTTAGAATGCTCTTACATGAACCTCTTAATTAGTTTTGTTTCTAGTCATATCTTACATTAGGTAGACACATATTTTACTCATATTAGCCATTATCTTCACTATGAGAGCATGGAAAAAAGAGTAACGGAGAGAGAGAGAGAGAGAGAGAGAGAGAGAGAGAGAGAGAGAGAGAGAGAGAGAGAGAGAGAGAGAGAGAGAGAGTAGCCATAAGGTCGCTGCACCTAGCCCTGCTCCCTTTTATTGGAGGTGTGGGAGGTCGTGATTTTTATTTCTTATCTTGATGGGGTTTATAATTACAAAGAAGTCTCTATAAATTACAAATAGACCGTCTAGCTGTTCACAATTGTGTCCTTAAACCTAGGATTTTGACCTTTTTACACTAAGGATAAGGAAGTCTCCAACATATGATACACCTCCGACAATCACCCATGCTCTGGGTATCCTTTTGATATCGCTGGAGAGACACATTAGCGATTGGCCATGTATAGCGTGAACCATTGTAAAACAAATGCTATTGAATGATGCACGGTTAGTCTGTGAAGTTATTCATTCTTCAAGTTTATAATGACACAATCAGACCTTTTTGACTAGTTTGCATTATTGTCGCAGTTTATGAAAACAAGAATTGCATGACAGTTGAATGATACAAGACATAAGGGCCTACATACAGCGAGGAAACAAATGAGAACAAATTATGCCGATACATATGGCACAACAACATTACATCTCATAACATTGCAAGTGTAACATCAAGCTAGATTCTACAGTAGAAACTTTCTAGGTTAATGAGCATGTGACAAGAGATTACCCTAAGGATGAGTAACCAGCCGATGAGGTCTGAGAATAGTGACTTTGGTGTGTGTAGCTAGGTCCACTTTCCTATGTCCTTGATGAAATCCGATAGAGTGGGAGCATCAGTATGAAAATGGGACTGCTGTGGTCGCTGCGAATTCTGTTTTTTTTCGGGGACCCCAGTGATAACAAAAATATGCTTCGATTCGGTTCTGCAAAGCACCGACCTAGTACTCTTGCTGTTTTCTTTATGCGAGGCCCACTTTAAGTCTGCACCGTCCATTTTTTTTCTTGCAGGTTCGTGGTGAGATCGGCTAATGCTTCATGGGGCAGCCACCATTCAGTAAGCAACTAATCACCAACACCAGTCGCTCTATATATTTCTTTTGTATCACTTTGGGTACTGCATTTTTAAAACCCCTGTCCCCTTGGCAAATTGCTGTTAATTCTTGCTTTTGTTTCGTCAGAAACATAATTGTGAGTTAGGCTTGAGTAACTTTTAGCAATTGCGGTGTAGGTTCCTTGTGCAAGTGAAATATGCAACGCCGATAACTGATAGCTCTTTGTTTCAAAAAAAAAAAAAAACTGATGGCTCTAGCTAAATACACAAAATAAATCTAGGAATTGTTGCGTGTGCAGAGTTGCCTGGAAAGCTTTAGTTGACTGCTATTATAAGAACTATTGAATGGTTTTGGTTGCATTTTGTAATGGTTTTGGTTGCATCAGCAGAATACTCCTACCTATTCAGAACTAAACTACACTAGTATCGGTGTGTAATTTAGTCCAGACCTGTGCCATATTGCCAACACGGCAGACATGGACAGGGTTTGATCTGTTCACAAGCAGTAGACAGTAAGCCAAGGGGGCACGCCCACATGGCCATCCTTGTCTTTGCTCTCTTTGAATCCTGCGTCTCTGCACGAGCACACACACGGCCAGAAAGCACAGATGGAGATGCCCTGCGGTTCACGACTGTACTAGTAGAATGCAACAAATGGGCATCAGAATTTAGAGTTGTCCTGTCTCTTGGTGAAAAACCAAATTACAACAACAGCCAAGAAAGTACTATCCTATCACGGAAATCCTAGGCTCTTGCTTGGATGCTGGTCACTTTGATTCAGAGTGCTGTCCTCGAACTAAGCCATATATGATCCATCAGTTTATTTTTTATGGATATGACCCATCAAAATTCATTAGATGATGCATGAAGCATCATAGATTTTGGGAGCTCCATAAACCAAACATCCCCTGAATTCGCAAGGATCAAAGGTGCAAACATGCCTGGTGCTGTACCCTGCACTCCTGCTGTGATCCCCATCTTCTTCAATGAAGCAATCCATTTGGATTTGTCTTTAGCGTTGTTCGCTTCACATTGCAAACCAGAGAGGCAGGGGTTAAAGCCTAGATGCTTTTACAATATTTTTACGTTTTCTCTTGGTCTCGCCATGATAGTATGATACGATGCTCTGGAATGACAATGACACCTGCATGAAAAGCAGAGGCTTTTCTTGGCCAATTTTCGATCCACTTGGATGGTCACCATACTCAGTTGTGATGAGCAGACAAATCCAAGTTGATTATCAATATCCAAGTGCACAACAGTCTTTTTATGCATGATCCTGTCGGATTATTGATTCTCACTGTGTAGCAAAGAATATATCCAAATGCAATCTGTAATAAATTCACTGTGAAACAGTTTAATTCCAGCAAGAAATAGAGAATTTTTTGCAATCTGTAAGAAATTCACTGTGAAACAGTTTTATTCCAGCAAGAAATAGAGAAAAGTTTTGTTGTTGGTTTGAGCACGAGCAGCACCAAAACCACACAAGTGATGAATGTGAATGTGATCATCGCTGTTTGCTCTGACTGATTGCCTGCAGGGCCTGCCGAGGCACGACGCCGGGGCGTCTCTGTCCGGCGTGCCGCGGTGGCCGCGGATGGTGTTCCTGGTGGGCGCCATGTCGTGCCTCGCCATCAGCGCGACGGCGCACCTGCTGGCGTGCCACACGCGGCGTGCCAGCGTGGTGTTCTGGCAGCTGGACTACGCGGGCATCTCCGTGATGATCGTCGCCTCCTTCGTGCCGCCGGTGTACTACGCCTTCCTCTGCCACCCGCCGGCGCGGGTGGCCTACCTGTCCGCGATCACGGCGCTGGGCGCGCTCGTGGTGGCCGCGCTGCTCTCCCCGTCCTGCTCGTCCCCGCGCTACCGGCGCCTCCGCGCCGCGCTGTTCCTGGCCATGGGCCTGTCGGGCGTCGTCCCGGCGCTGCACGCGCTGTGGCTCAACTGGGGCCACGCCGCCTGCTACCTGGCGCTCGGCCTCGAGGTCGCCATGGGCCTCGCCTACGCCACGGGCGCCTGGTTCTACGTCAGCCGCGTGCCGGAGAAGTGGCGACCCGGGGTGTTCGACGTCGTCGGGCACAGCCACCAGATCTTCCACGTGCTCGTGCTCGTCGGCGCCGTCACGCACTACGTCGCCGTCGCCGTGCTCATCCACTGGCGGGAGAAGGTGGCCGTCGCCTGTGGCGCGGCGTCGTAGGCGCGCTTGCTGTCCGGGCTTTTGCAGCAAGCCAGAGGTGCTTGATCGGATCCATAGACATCCATCCAGAGCTTCAATGTGCCATTGCCCATTGGGGTTTGGTTGATTCAACAACCATTCGAATGGCGAACGAAGTAGATGCAGCATAGATCAGCTCTAGAGTTTGAGTGTGCCATTCGACGATTTGTAATTTAATTGATGGGACGATTGATGAGTATGGTGGTTCATGATTTATCTGTCGAGTGAGTGACTTGGATTTGCAGGTTTAGGATTGCAGTGTCAGTGTAGTCTCTGCTCCTCATCATCAGTACGGCGAGGTCCTCCACCTCCAGCTACCCTTCTTCGATGGACGAGGCCGGCCTGCGCCGGCGATCGGGCGTTCAACTGAAGGGCTATCACAGCATGTCACGGCTGATTCAGCTGTGCAGATTGCTCCAAAATGAGTGAAATTCTGTTCTCTGTTTTTCTTTTCTTGTCATCGTTCAGTTTCAGCTAATACAGACGCAATTGGTGGTGGCCACTGGACAGACCTGTGACAATTAAGGGTTGATTCAATATAGCTCGAGTTTTGACTTTTGATTGTTATCATTTGAACAGATTCGATGACAGTTCTAATTTACTTGATACGATCATAATGGAGATTGATGCATGAGATTGAGCTTCATGATTTGAAAGACCTAATAATAGTTTATTTGAAAGACCTTCGGTTAACTATACTTGCATTAACAAGAAGATGGCATGCAACTCAGCAATGTGATGCAATGCAACATGCTCAAGAAACCACAGCAAACTTTGTTTATTTCTTTACAAACTTCCCCAGATTCGAGTTATCGATCAAGCAAAAAAAAAAAGCTTAATAAGGGAAAATGCTGCATTCTCTCTCGCTCATCCCTTTGATGTGTCATTGCCGTCTCATGGCATTCTTCTTCAGCTTCAGTCGAAGACGGCCAGCTTGTCGTACTCCGGCCCGGCGATGGCCTTCTCCATTACAGCCCTGGGGCAGACGATGCCGTCGCCGTCAAGGAACAGCTTGAGCAGGTTCTTGGAGAAGCCGCTGACGAGCGCCACCCCCTTCTGCCCGGCCTCCACCGGCACGGCCTTGGAGTCCCTCAGGTTCCAGAACACCACCTCCGGCACGGCCGCGCCGTACCCAGCCTCCGTGAACTTGCGCACGATCGCCTCGTAGTCCGTCTCCCACGGATTCGCCGACGCCTGGTCGAACTCCATGTCGCTGAACACGAACACGCGCCGCACCATTCGCTCCGGCGCCAGCCTGGCGCTCACGGCCACCTCGAGGATCTTGTCGAACACCGCCTGGAAGTTGGTGTTCATGCCCCAGTCCATGGTTCTAACGAAGCTTGTCTTCTCGTAGAGGGTCTCGCCGGCGATCTTGTGGAGCTCGGGCCGCTCGCTGAAGGTGATGACGCGGCCGCGCCAGGGGTCGTCGCTGAGCTCGGACACGAGGAGGCCCAGGGCCACGCACACGTCCATGGGCAGGCCGAACATGCTGCCGGACACGTCGCACACCGCGACGCAGTTGCTCAGTTTGCCGAGCGCGCGCATGTCGTCGACCATGCGCTGCCACTGCAGGTCGGCCACGCCGCCGGCGTCGCCGAGGGAGGAGATGATCTCGTGCGGGAGCAGCGCGCCCGCGGCGATCCGCTTCTTGCCGTACTTGACGTCGGCGAGGTAGGCGTTGAAGCGGTTGGCGTCGTGCTTGAGGAAGAGCTCCTTGTAGTTCTTCATGGCCACGGAGGCGACGCGCGTGTACGCGACCGACTCCCACGCGCGCGCCGAGATGAAGACCTCGGGGAGCTTGAGCGCGCGGCGGAGCGGCACGAGCGCCACCCTGCGGAGCCTCTCACGCGCACGGTACGCGTAGTGCTCGTCCGCGAGGTCCGTGGCGAGCTCGGGCGCGGAGCCCTTGGGGAAGAGGCGCCGCGCAACGGCCTCGCAGAGCAGCGTGGAGCGGTCGTAGGAAGAGTCCAGCGACGGGCACCACTTGGCGGCGAGCGAGAACTCCCGGACCTTGCCGTCGGCGAGCTTGCGCATGTCCTCCGCGATGAGCCCCGCGAAGAGGTCGGCCGTGCGGTCGTGCAGGAAGCGGTAGGTGGGGTCGTTGCTGTACATCTCGACCGCCCTCGCAGCGGCCTCCGCTCTCCTGGTCCGGCGCACCACCGCGGCCGCGGCCGCGAGTCCCCGGTCGTGCTCGAGGCTGGTCGCGACGCGCTCCTCCGTTGAGCCGACGCGAGTGGCCCGTTCCGCGCGGGTGCGGGGCGTACGGCCGCCGAAGAAGCCGCGGCCCCGGCCCCGGCCCCGGCCGCCGAAGCACCCGCGTCCCCGGCCCCGGCCGCCGACGAATCCTCCTCCCTCGGCGGCGAGGCGCGCCTTCTTGCCGGGGGTTCTGGTGGACACCCCGCCGTGCACGATGCGGTGGAGCAGCTCGGGGAGGTCCTTGAGGTAGCCGAAGTCGGCGACGGGGGCGGCGTTGAGCGCCAGCGTGCGCGGGTGGCGCGCGTGGAGCCAGAGCGCGGCGGCGTAGAAGCCCTCGCGGTCGGACTTGCCGCTCCCGCGCACGCCGCGGAGGTTGGCGACGAGGCGGAGCGCAGTGGCCGGGTCGGCCGCCCAGGCGGCGCCCAGGAGCGACTCCACGGAGGCGGCCCGCGTGCCGGGCACCACGTGGAAGAAGAAGTCGAGGCAGGGGTCGCCCGAGGACACGAAAGTCGGGGAGCAGTTCTCCGTGAGCGCCTTCCCGCCCGGCACCGGCGCCGGCGCGGTGGGCTTGTTGAAGCAGGCGTCCATCAGGTCCAGGAACTCCTCCCCCGTCGGTGCCGCCTCAGCACCCGTGGCCCGGACCGCGGCGTGGCGCTGGCGGGCCTCCGGTGGGCCCACGAGGGTGTAGGAGGCGTCGGCGGCGGTGCCCACGGCCATCGCCATCGGAGGATCTGGGCCTTGGAGTCTCACTCGATGGGCTTGAGCTTGGGCCTTGGAACTCGGAACTGAGTGACTGACACCGGGAGGTGTACAGCTACTGGGGGCGGAGGGCTTCGGGTTTGAGCCCTTTGGATGTTTTGGTCTCGAGGGCTTGTGGTGAGGAGACAGGGACAGGGAGGAGGCATATATGGGGCTGAGGTTTCGTGGCAGGCAAGGATGTTTGGGTCGGTGAGATCGATGAACCGACTTAAAGAGAGCTTGTGGGTATCGTGTCCATCGACAAACATTTTGTTTCCTTTTTTGTTTGTCTCGCCGTTCATACTGAGCGCCACGTCGTGTGATCCAAGGTTGGGGGCATTGACTCATTGACTTTCGAGTAGCACCTTCCAATGGAAGGCGAGTTCGCCTATTGGCTCTTCGGCTACAAGTTTAGCTTTTTTTCTAGGTGTGTTTCTACTTTCTACCGTGTTTGCAAAACATGGATAGTATATAGGTTTTTCCTTGTAATAGCTGATTATTAACGTCTAAACGATCCATATGGTAAATCCTGTCGGAAACTGACCATATATTTCTTCCTGTGGGCTTGATTGGTTTACGACCAAAATTTGTTGTGTCAAATATTTGGTAAGCCAAAGCTAAGTAAAAAAGTTGCCATAGATTTGGTAAACTAAATATAAGAGGTTGGTAAGTTTCGGTAGCCAACCAAACACTAACCAAAATCATGGCTTACCAAATATTTGATTTGACAAATTTTGGAAGCCAACCAATCAGGCTCTCTATGTATACAAGAAAACTCCATTCGTCTAAAACTAGATTTTTTATGATTTTTAGGATAAATTACTGCCTATAAATCACTCATGTATCTTCTATCTATTTACTATTGAAGGTGATCCATGCTAATTTTATCAATAAAACATAAAACATTAATTAAAAAGGGATGTATGGAGACATGAAGGCTGCAATCTCAAGCCTAGAGACACTCTCAAAGTATATGAAAACTTGGATCTCTAAATCGCCTCTCTAAAATCTTTGAATCATACTTTTTAAGTTCCGGGAACGGCCTAGCTGACCAAGTCGTACGTGGAGGCTCAATACCTCTCCTTGGGGTGGTCAGAGTTCGAGTCCCATGAGATTCACTCTTTATTTGTGGCTTCAGCCGCAACGACCAAGGGAAAAAAACTCTCGTCTGCCCCACATCCAAAGCATAGGTCCTTAGCTAGCTCATCTCACGGAGCTACGGTGTCGCTGTGTATAAGTGGAGCAGGGGTTCAGGGGTTTCTTGATATATTCTTCTTAAGCCGGAATACATATGGTTGTCTAGCCACCACTGATAGAGTTTTTTTTTTTTGAAGTTGCTAAGGGACTCAAGATCTTCGTTCTTCCCATTAAGATACCTACATATATACAGAGTACATGCAAAAAAAACATAGGCATGTACTGCATAACTGTAAGTCAAAATAATTCTAAACATGCCATGGAGCATACTTGCGTCAATGAAAATCTTGAGCATGTTTTGAACCCTTTTGAATTTAATTTCCCAATTAAAAACCTTATCTTTTGGTATATCAGCAGATGCTTTGTGAAGGAACTTTCATTTTCACCATAACACTTATGCTGGAAAATTACATAATAAAATACACTTTTCCAGTTTTGAAAATATAGATGATCTTTTTTAGATTTTGGAAACCATTGTGGAGCTAAAAAGTTTAGTAAAAATCAAATATAGCCTTCCAAATAAAATTTTAGTTCAAAACCACAAAAGATACGATGCCATATCCAAATAAAATAGGTTGCATTTGATTTATACCATCTATTTGAAAAATTACATTGTTTTTGAGGAATTCTAGGTTCCTCACTCATTTCAGATTGACAGAAATAGACATACCCAGAACCGAAACAACCGAACGTCCGCTACTACTTAGGGCATCAACAATGCAGACCATCAAATAGACCCCGTTCGGCTTACCCCATATCCGGCTTGTTCGGCTTCTTTTTTCAGTCGGAACATTGTTTTTCTTTCACAACATTTCAGCAAGAACAGTGTTTTTCAGCCAAGATTCAGCAAGCCGAACGAGGCCAAATGCTTCATCTAAAGTTATAGGCCATGTAGGCAACCATGATGAGGATTCTCTCACTTGATGAAAATACGAGACGAGGATTCTATCAACTACGGCCACAACGTGTGTTCGAGGAGAGCTTCAATCTTTTTGTCAGTGAGGCAGCTTCTACAAGCTGACAGCACGCAAAGCCACTACTATGCCTGACCTGGAGACTGCATGTGAACGTGGATGCTGGGGCTAACAGCCAGTGTCGCGTTGGGGCTGCTCTTATCGGACAGCACGAGCCCAAGCAATGACGACGTGAGCGATGTTGCTTGGCGGGGCTTATGGTGAGCATGCCTCGTCCTCCTCCCCCGAGCGACAAAGGCAATAATATCGGTTTTTGAGATTGGATTGAAGATTCGGTTGGAGGATATTTTCGATCTAAAATCTTTATTTCTATTAGTAAAGAAGCATATAAAGAGGTCTTACAAGAGCTTTTTTTTTTTTTGCTCTTATATGGGCATAACCTTAGTGTTCATGAACTAAAACATCAAATTTTCCAAGACAAGTTTTAAATCCTAAGTTCATGAGCTAAAACAACAAATTTTCCAAGACAAAATTTAAATCCTAAAACATCAAGTAGTAGTATTTAAGAGCAAAAACATTAATTTTTTAAGACAATTTTCAAATCATAAAAAAAAGTTTTTTGAGACGAGTAATTTTATATGTTAACTTACTTTCTCTTACCCTTTTTCTTTCGACGTACACTATCTTACGTGGCAAGCAATCAGCAATTATTCATTTTCTTATTATCGTTTCCCGTTTTTCTTTCAGCCCACTATGGTAAATGACAGCGAACCAAATGGCAATAAAAAAGAATCATGATTCCAGTGTAGCATCAGCAATCTGATTAACTGAACTAAATATACCCAACGGAAAATCAGAACTACCAATGAAGATTTTTCCGAAAAAGAGAGGTCCAATTGAAGGAACAATAATGCGATGCTAGCTGAAAGAATATTCAGTCTGCTTGAACGAAGAGATGCCTAGCATCAGTAGCCGAGTCTATTTACACCGTGAAGATGATCATATATACAAACATAACTTGAGAAAGCAACTGAGAATTGAGAGTCTATAGCAATAAATTTCAGTATATATACAGTTGACAGTTTTCTCCCTTCATTTCAGCAGCCAATTGTCAGGCAGGATCAGGAAGGTGTTTTGTTTCAACGGGCAGCATCAGGCAGCATGGCAACAGTCACCACGAAGTACTCACAGCCCCCAGGTAGGTTGTAGGGGTTGGGCATGGATGCGGGCGACCGACGGCCACCACTGCTATTAGGGCGTGGAGCTCCTCCCATCTGGCCTGGGTGCACTATGCGCCGCTCAATGTGAACGATCTGTCCGATTATATAAGCTGGGTGCTGCGGGTGGTGCTCGGTGAACAAGGCGACAGATTCCTCAGACAGGTAGTAGTTTGAGCAGTTCCGGTTGATCGCCTCGTAGTGCCCAGCAGGGTTTCGGAAAAAGACAGCAAGCTCATGGACTTCGAACCGACCAAATGATATCTTCTCCTTGCTGGCCTGTTAAAACAGTTTTCCAAGAGACAACATAGCAAATTTGCTCGTTAGCACAATTAGCAAAAATGTAAAAGGTTCTATCCATCAGCCATGGGAATTCATTGCCAGATGCAGAAATTAAAGTAACAAAACTCCAGATGCAGAAATTGAGGTAACAAAACTCAGGAGTATATTGATGTCCAATCATATCATGATTTTGACGAATTCATTTTTTACCATATTCAAGATGAATTTTGTTTTGTGCATGAGTGTTCATCTGATGTAAAACAGTAAATGACACTCGATTTATGGCTACATATGTTACAAGACAAACCTGTTTTTCTAGTTGAAGTTTATTGTAGAGATTCTTAATCAGCTCTTTCTTCTCATCCAACCCTTTTGTGATACCTCCATGTACTGCCTGCATAGCTGAATAGCGTTCTTGCAGCTCAGCACTCTGTCGTGTCAGTAAATAAACTTTGTCCGCCAGGATCTTGATGCATTGTTGAAACTGAACAGTGGTATCAGCTTCATCCTTCTTTACAGAGCTGGAACGAAATAGAGAATATTTTATCATAGCTGTCCTCTCAAGACGATTTACTATGAACAATAAATATGTGAATGACAGTAACACACCTTGCCAAGGAGATAGCCAAAGAACGCAGTGACTCTGCAAAGCCAGTCACGCCTGGTGCAGTGACACAATTATTTAGCCTTTCGAACAAACCATGTATCCTCAAAGCAGACGACCGCAGAGCATCATACTCAACAGCCCTTCTGTCAGCTGAACATTTGTTTGTTCGGGCCTCTTCTCTTGCTTCATGTAAACAGTTTTCAAGGTGTGCACAATTCATCTTCATCAAATATGTAGAGGGAGAATCAGAGGAATAAGAATATGAAAGGTGATCATTGCGATTTGCACATAGCAGTGAAATTATCATAGATTTCTATGACTAACCTGAGATTCATCAAGAAGACCCCGGGTTTGTTCAAGTTCTTTATTCAGGGAGTTAACCTCATCCATCATAGCACTAAGTTTAATTTCAGTTTCACCCAACTGCTTTGATTTTTGATCTAGGGTATTTTGCAGCTCTGACACAAGAAGCTCCTTATTCCTCAACTCTAAGGCATGATGCTCATTAGTTCTTGAGTTTAAGATGCTAAGAGGATCTTCTATAGGAACATCAGAAGTGTCAGCCATAGTAAGTTGTGTCAACATGTACCCTTCCTTATCAATGTTTACGATCTTATGTTCATTATCACGTGGCAATTCTGTCATGAAAGCATCCAGATTAGTACATGCTGCTGAATCGAGCAACTGCAAGTTCAGTGCACCTGAAATGTCAGTCATATTCTCATCGCCACCTTCTGTTTGTTTAGATGGCTCTTCAGATGTTGAAGAGGCCTCATCCATGGCCACACTTGATTCATCGCGTATTTGGGTTTGCCTGCCTCCAGATACATCCAGGTTGCAGTCATTACTTTTAAATGCAGAAAGCAGGGAATCAGACGTGCCTTTGCTTCCTGACACCATGTGACCTTGCATGTACTGGTTGGCTAAGCGTTCCTCAAGATCCTGGATCCGCTTCTCATATGCCAAGCATTTTTCCTGCTTTGCAGTGAGCAATGACTGAAGCTGGTAAGCAAACTCATCCTTTGCAGCAAGTGCCTCAGCTGTTTTTTCCCTTGCTTTTTTCAATACAGCATCAATTTGTCCTTCGTCAATAGACTCATATCCATATTCAGCACTGACAGTGCAGAGAATTGCAATTGCAGAAGCAAGTTCTGCTTTTAACCTGGCATTTTCCACTTCTAACTTACTAGTTCCTGCAATGTCAATAGAATCATAACCCCCCAGAAAATCTTGGAAATCCATCTTATCATCAGCGCTCAGAGGATTTTGCTCAGATTTGTTCAAATTTCCACTGGTACTAGAATTGCTTAGCAAAGGCTTTGCTAGCTGTGATCTCTCAGATTTCAGAAAAGACCCCAGTATAGACTGGGGAGCAAGCTTTTCCACATCATCAACATCAATGGGAAGAAGATCACGATCAAAAGGAGCAACTTTTACATCACACTGGCTTGGAGAATCAAAGAGTCCCATGGAACACATGACATCATCTGGAATGTACCTGCTCCATGTCCTATGGAAATCCTCTCGTCTTGTTTTCTCGTTTTGACACTCGGTTGCCAACTTTTCGGCATATGTTCCAGCCAATCCAGTATACAGCTTAAAATACGATTTCCTCCTGGCTACCTCGGCAATACAAGCTCTATATGCATGATCCAAGCCACTGACTATTTTCAGATTATCAAAATCTTCTTGATGGCCCATCACCTCTTGGAATGCAATGAGTTCACTCATCATGCCTTTGATGCTAATCTGAGAAGATTTTACTCTTTGCATGCAAACATGGACCAAAGTATTCATTTCATTCTTCTTGTCCTTGCATTTCTCAAGCAATTTTGTAAGCCTGTGATCAAAATTCTGTATACTGGGCAAGTTATCCTTTTCATGTACTTCATAGATACGGCCAACGGCTGAGACTGCATCATGAGGACGGAGAGAAGCAGATAGCTGGCAACTTGAGCAGTCATCAACAAGCTTCTTTGAGGTGTACACATCTTTACTGCAAGACAAAAGAGTTTTCAGCATATAATACTATGAGATATGATGTAACATAATCGTGGGGAATCGAAGAAATGGTTGCTAACAACACACATTTCAGTTTCAAATGAATAAGTTAGAAAGAAGCAAGACCCTTAATAAGCTATGTGTAGCAGCAAAAGCAGAAAATCCTAAAAATGGCACTGTTAAGTTTCAAGCCAACCTGCTATGTCCACGATAATAGACTAGTCATACAACCAAGCTAAACCATTTTCCTTTTTTCAAAAAACAGTATAATGAAGTCATTTAGATTATTCAGGCCAAATCTCTCAGAGTAGAAATAAATAGTTCCCAGTGGCTTTCAGATAAGAGCAACATATTTAGGCATACAAATGCAAAGTCTAACCTTAGAGCTTGCATGATGATCTTCTGGTCACCAATGACTCCCTGATGCTCCTTTATAAGCTTCTCAACATCCTTGCACCCACCTGAGCTCATGGCATTGAATAAGCCTTCCACCCTCTTCTTCAGCTCCAAGAAGTTTGCCTTCAGCTGTGACACCTTGACCTCAAACTTCTTATGTGAGCTCAAGCATCCGTCAGCCAATTTCCTCAGGTCATTCTCCTTGAGAAGGTCCATCAAGCAATGCGTCCCCTCACTTTGCAGTGCTGGGTGCAGCCTAATAGCACGCAGCTTCTGCACATCTCTCTCGAAATTTGCCAGCATTTCAACATGTGAACGGTGCTGCTGCGTGAAGCACCGCAAAAATTCTGAATACCGCTGCGAGAGCTTCCGGAATGTGTGCTCTAGGTTGCTCCGTGCTGTGTCCAGCGCTCGCTCCTGCACCTGCCCCTCCCGCAGAAGCCGCCGGCACAGCTCAAATTTTGCCAAGCTAGATTGGTACACCGCATTGGCGACCTGGAAGTGATATCTGAACCTTGTTTCATAAGATACCAGCGCCTTCAGCGCCGGGTCTGCAGCTGCATCCACAGGTGGTGAGTCCTGCGGCCGGGGCGGTGGTGGAATATTTGGCTCAGGGATGTAGAGGGACTCCGGCGCCGGGGTCCGGGAGTCCGCGAGGAGCCGGGCCTTGTTGTAGAGGAAGACCTCACGGTCGTCGCGCGGAAGCTTGTAGTAGGCGAGCGCGTGCCCGTTGGCGCCGTCGAGGGAGGTGTTGCCGCAGAGGAGGAGCTGGTCGCTGGGCGGTACGCCGCAGTGGACCTGGATGGAGTGCTGGATGGCGTCAACGAGCGTGTCGCCGCCGCACTGGAACTCCAAGGTGTTGCCGTTCTCCGCCACGTGCACCATCAGCTTCTGCCCCAGCGGCACCGCCGCCGCCTCCTCCGCACCACCGCCTGTCACCGCCGACCCGGAACTCATCTTCCTTGCGATTCGACTAGCCCACGATTCCACTCCAAAACCGAATCTTCCTTTTTTTCCCCCTTTTTTGCTTCACGCAGTTCAGATTAAAATCTATCTGCACTTCTACCAAATACCACCAAACGAAGCAACCACCGGACGGGCACAGTTCAACACGAAACACCAAACTCTTTAACCTCTCCAGCAGGACAGCCTCCGTCCGTCGAAGAAAAGCACGAGCCAACAACGTCCGCCGAGGCCTTCTCTCCCACGCATCCGATCAGACGCACCAAATCCTTTATCTCCCCCAACAACAAGAACGGCCGGAAGGCGGCGGCTTTCTTGGAATTCCGGCGAGGGATGGGGACTCCGTGGCCGGGACCGACGTCTCCTGGCCCAATTTACCCTGCTTCACCAAGCCCGCACGGATTCGGACGAGAAGTTTGGGATTTCTTGATTAACAGATGGAAGCGACCTCCGGGAAGCAATCCAACTCCTCCGATGGGTTTGATTCGGTCTCCGAGGGGCGTAGCCCGAATCAAGGAACCGGGATGGATGGGATTTTTCTTTTCTATACTAATCCGTGTGGGAGGGGAGATTGACGAGCAGTAGCGTTAGCATCGGGGAGACAAGGAGATGAGGGGGGCAGACGAAGGGAAGGACGGCGGAGGAGAGAAAGAACAAAAAGTAAAATAAAAGGGGGTGAATAGAAAAGTGGACCAAGCTACCTTCTGGCGTCTGGACTCCGCAGCCCGGAGGACGTTGGTGGAGTAGTAATAAAAAGGGACAATCGTACCGCGCACATCAAAGTGACGGTTATCTGTTTGACGCACACCTTGTTTTGAGCAGTTTGACTGAAAATATTTTGATTTATTGAAATTAGGTTATAGGACACCACGGACCAATTGCAGCTGGTTGAGGAGAGAGAACAACAGTGAAATGATATGCTTGCCCCTGCTGCTTCCTTCTTCCTCTCTCTCTTTCTCTTTTTTTTTCTTATCCCCGCCACCCTCTCCACCTCTCGCACCCGTCGTCATGCATCACGCCGTCGCGGGCGCCCGCGCCTCTGGCGGCCCGCTTCGGCGCCGCGCCCCAACCTCGCGCCTCCGGCTGGCTTTGCTCGATCTTGCCGTCGCAGCAGCGAAGATCGTGCCCAATGCATTGCTCAGCGCGACCATAGCAAAGCCGCCGCCCCCGCCGCCGCCGCCACAACAACTCAACAGTACGAAGTCGCAGGCGGCGGGGGATCAGACCACATTCTTGCAATACCTGCAGAACCACCGGCCGCCCGCTCATCTTCGGCGCGGTGCGTATACAGCCTGCGCCATCGAGTTCCTCAAGTACTGGACCCGGGCTCGGCGAGACCAAGGTGCACGTCATTGGGCGCCGCCTTCTTGAAATTATCCGTCGGCGCTGCGTGCGTGCCGCTCGCCAGCACGGGATCCTCGACGCGCTCATCGTACACTGCGCGCGCGTCGAGGAGAAGCGCCACGCAGCGTCGAGTCGAACCCCTTCGCGGCCCGTGCCATGCACATCTACCTCCGCGGCGTCCACGACGCGCAGGCCAAGGCAGCAGTAGCGAGGGCGGCTGCTCGCACGTGGCGCTCGTGGTCGCTCGCAAGCCCGCATGGCCGCGGCTGGTCGACGGCGGTGGCTACTGCTCAGCAATGGAAGAAGAGAAGAGGAGAAGATGAGGAAGAAGAAGATGACAGGTGGGGCCCGCGCGTCAGTGAGAGGGAGAGGGGCGGACCCAACTGTGGCTCAGGGAGCATCGGATGTCCAAAACGAAATTTTCTCTCTCCTCAACCGGCTGCAACCGGTCCGCAGTGTCCTATGACCTAATTTCATCAAACCAGAGTATCTTCTGGCAAACTGCTCAAAACATGGTGTCCGCCAACAAACAACCATCACTTTGGATCTTCACTAAACAATTGTCCCTAATAAAAAATAGGGTGAAACTTTTGTAGGGAGATCCTTATAGACTAGTGAATTGACCTGTGCGTGAATTATTGGAGAAGGGCTGGGTTTGCTTCCTCCGGAAGAGTGGCGGTGTAGGGAATATACCAAGCTATGCAACCATGGCTTTGTTCACCCGTAGGCTATTTTTTGGTCACGACGCAGCATGCAGGTACAGTAGGTGCATGAAACACAAACTATCTGGAGTATATATTAGACCTTATTTAAATTTAGGGCGTAAAGTTTTAGGGTGTCATATCGGGTGTCCCATGAGGATGTTGAATGAGGTGTTCAGATATTAATAAAAAATAAATTACAGAATCCGTCAGTAATCCGCGAGATGAATTTATTAAGCATAATTAATCGGTCATTAGCACATGTGTTACTATAGCACCACATTGTCAAATCATTGATTAGTTAGGCTTAAAAGATTCGTCTCGTAAATTAATCGCAAACTGTGTAATTAATTATTTTTTAGTTTATATTTAATTCTTCATGCATGCATTCGATGGGATAGGAAGTATATTTTAGGAAGAAGAACTAAACTCATGCCTTATAATATATAAGATGAATCATTATATCCTATGGTTCATTTTGATTGGGTAGTTGAGTGTGTCTATATATATATATATATATATATATATATATATAGTGTGTGTGTGAAAAACGTTTAACTAACTATAACACTAAATACAAAGTCCACTCATTTTTTATAAATAGTGTTTTTAATTGATTTTGCATTGCAATTGATGTGATCTGTAGCAAGAACAGCATGACTTTTTACAGTATTTTATTTAGCTTGCTTTTTTACTCCTATGAGGAAAGTTGACATGAGATAACGGAAATAGCATTATTCTAGCTATAGCCTATATATTTCTTCCGACTTTTAGGTCAAACACCAACAAATCCATAATATTCGAAATAGTCAAGCAAGTACCCGACGTAGGAATGCAATAATTCTAATCATTAAAAGCTAATTTCATGCATAGCGTGTAGATGCAGTCATCTTACTGATGCATGTAAAAGCTTTGGCCAGTACTCTCTTTGTTCCAAAGTCCATCTTACTGATTTATGTAAAAGCTTTGGCTAGTACCCTATTTATTAATTCAAAATTGTAAGTCACTTGGTCTTTACTTTAAGTTTTAAACTAAGTTTTCTATGATTAATATAGTTATTTTTTAGAAATTTATCAAATACACCATGAAATATATTTTTATGTGAAATCACAATACAAACACAAACATTCATACATGTACATACGTGCACACACAAGTCTGAAGAGCACCTCTTGAAGACTTAAGACTGAGTCAACGTATCTCAAAATTAGCGAAGTTATTATACACATCCTGTTGTCGATGCTTAGAGGTGGATCTAGCACTGCGAGTGGCATGCCCGTTAGCGAGCTCACCAAACGCGACACTTGAGCCATCGAGGCAAGTGACGTTAGCTCAACCCCTTCGGTTGCGGAAACTGCGGACGAGGTGACGATCACAAAGATGAGCCGACCCTCGACCGGACCCCCGCTACGCGTGGAGGCTCAAGGAAAGTTGGACTCACAAGGAGACCGAATGCACGGTCGTAGAACGATGGCTCGGATCTTAGGGAGGGGGTACATACGAAAACTAAGAATAACGTTTCTAAAACAAAAGCCGCTTTCTTCTACTAGTTTTCGCTATTGTCTCCTCGATCTTTAGTAAGCAAAGGGTCGGGTCTCACTCGGGGGCTGATAAGGATATATATACCCTTTCTGAAACAGTCGCCGTGCCTGACCCTTTCTCACGATTAAAAACCTAGAGGCGAGGTTTGCGGAAACGAACAACTGAGAAAAGATGTCAGATTGCAAGAAACCTATGCCCCAGCGGCTACGACACTCTTGCTTACTAGCGTGATCAGAGTTTCTCGCCCGCACCTTGAGCTCTACAATCTTAACAATAGGAAGGGTCAGAGCGCTTTACCCCTTTTTACACATAAAAAGGGAAGAAAGAATAAATTTGTTCAACCGAAACGAAAGAACAGACTTGTTAAAACGAAACAAAAGGGATGGGCCCGCTAGCGGACGGTACCCGGGCGCACGAGCGCCGTGGGTATCCTAGCCCATGTTTGAGTCTCGGCCGGATACGATCCATGGTTTTTCCTTAAAGAAAGGTAGAGAGCCCTCAGGACCGGTCAAACGGACCCGGAAACTATATGGATTGACCACTGAGAATCTAGAGTCGGTCACCAGTTGACCCAAGCCGGATCCCCGTGAACGGGATGCCGGGGCCCACTCGGACTAGCCCGTTAATAGCTCACCGAGCACCATGATTCGTACATAGAGAAAAATCATGGCATGGCTCAGCCCCTCTGTTTTTATCAAAAAAAAATGCTTGAGGAAAGACGATCACAAAGACGAGCCGACCCTCGATCGGACCCCTGCTACGGGCGGGGGCTCGAGGAAAGTTGGACTCGCAAAGAGACCGAACGCGCGGTCGTAGAACCATAGACCCCCGTAGGGGTCAGATTCAGGAAAGACCTTTTCTGACCCACCAAATCTCACAGCTATATCCTCGAGGGGTCCGATCACGACGAAAGGGAATCACCGTCCCTAGGACACACCATGGGCGATAAAAGAAGGCCAAGGCCCTCAGAGTCCTCCCGTTTAGAAAAGCCTCTGAAGGAGTATTCTACTCCTCCCCAGACTTAGGGGCTACTGTCGGGGACCAATACTAGGGTACCTGAAGAGGAGGAGCTAATGGTCATCAACACTGATTCATCCGAGCAGTCAAGAGCGCGACTATAGCTCCAATCGACCCCCAGGTGCACGGGCTCTGCCTCACCCAACCTCTGGGTCGGGGGACTCGCCTCGCCCGGCCTCTGGGTCAGGGGCTCCACCTCGCCTGACCTCTGGGTCGGAGGCTCCGTCTCGCCCGACCCCTCAGGCATGGCTCTTGACAGAAGCCCGTACCGCCACCAACCACTATGGGTCAGAAAGTACAACCCAAGGTCAAACTTCTGGCATCGTGCAGGGAGCGGGCACATCTCAACATGACCCGTGCCCACGACATGTCACTCCAGGGAACTCACAT